TTCCTTGTGCTTGCAAGCAAGTTTCACATCTCGTTAACATGTTTCGAAATACTCGACGAAGCTCTTCTTGGGAAATTGTCGAATATTTTCTTTTTGTGATTTAAGGTAAGAACAATTAATGTAATAACATGTATTAGTGACGAGAAATATTCGTAGTTCGCTGTTACTAGCAGCACTGAAACTGACTCGCCCGTGACTCACGCGTACAAGTCCCGCCTACGTCAACAGCGCCGGCCGATAACACAATGTAAGCACGACCGCAGGCTCATAAATTGTAGACCCGGTACTTTCTGCTGCCAATCATGTGTGTTGCTATGGAATTGCCCCACTTGACTCTTATCTAAGATCTTGTCTTGCAGGTCTGGGAGCTGAGCAAGCCAAGAAATTGTGTCCACCTGATATTGAGGTGGCATGCCATTATGGTCTTAACTTCTGCATGTTATCAGGACCAGTTGAGTCTATGAAGAAGTTCGTGGAAATGTTGCAGCATCGAGGCATATTCACCAGAGAAGTGAACTGTGCCAACATTGCTCTCCACAGCAATTACATGTCATTGGCTGCGCCTCTCCTACTTAAATATCTGAAGCAGGTAAGGTGTTTACCATTCACAATACCTAAAGAATCTCAGAAGTGACACATCCCAGGTGATGTTTGTTGATGGTATGGACTGCACTGAGGCCCAGGATTGGGTAATTTCAGCAATCTTTGAGAAAAGAGCAAGTTAATTGCATGATTAGATATTTTGTTTCTGTTTCCTTGTTTGCTTGTGTCATTGTTTCTTTATAAATTTATTAGTTATTGAGGCATTTTCTTTTAGACAAGTGCTGGTTACCACTAGGTTAGGATAGTTGAGCTCAGTGGTTGATCTTCATACATGTAATGAGACTTCAGGTTCTATAAAAATGGAATTTGTTGACTAGCTGTGAAACTATAAACTTGTTTAGAAAATTCCTATACACTGAAATTAGTTAATTCAGTCATTTAGTTAGATGGTTAGGTACATAGATGGGTACTTAATTTATTTTTTAGTGTCTTAGGTATTTAGATGCATGATTGTTTACTTCATTAACTCTTCCCAAGCTGAAAACAGATATATACAAATAATAAATTCTTCTCTGGCTACCAGCCAAGTAAGGTGGCTTGATGAAGAAAATACCGACGTTCTCAAAACGGTGTTAAACCACTTTACATGGCTGGTAGCCATAGAAGAATTCTTTACACTCGGTTGCCGTGAAAGCTTCAGATCATACTGGGTATGAACATAGTAACAACAGGATCAGTAATGCCAGATCCACGAATAAAGGACATAATAGGGAAGGCGAGGCAAAGGGATGTGCAGTCATTCAGAAAGAATGACAAATTTGCTTTAACTTCGATGAACAGTACACAGTCATGATTCTCAGTACTTTTCATTCATGGAGTAAAAGTGAGTAACAGAAGTGCCCTTGGGATATCCAAACAAACATCGCATAACGAAGCCAAATATGGTGTTGTGTTACACTAAACCTATTGGAGGGGTTGACCACAGTGACCACTATATTTCTTCTTACCATTTTATGAGGAGATCAGAGAAGTGATCTAAAAATATTTTTATGGCTTCTGGAAGTAAGTATAGTAAATTTATATTTGATGTATGTCTTAATTTAGGAACAATGCAGTAAGAGGCCTATAACTCATAAGTTTAAGTAGAGTCTTGTGAAATCCATAGTGCATGAAAGGATGTCTACTAGTGGCGGAATGCACAAAGCTAAGTGAGGCAGACCATGCAGTGGCCTACCTGAAGAAAGGCTAAATGGTGAGCCCCATTTTATTGAGAGGAAAGAAAAAGGGTCTATTATCTGTGTTGTGTGCAAGGCAAACAAATTATGGAAAGAGATGATATATTAGAGCAAGACATGCAGCAAAAAGCCATTTTTACACTCAGACAAATGCTTTGATCTGTATCACAAAGTCAAGGGCTTATGAAGAATTTCTAAACAGATGCATTTATAAAGGTATAGCATAGTGCCAGTAGTGGCATATAATGTGCCTTTCACTCCATAGTCTTTTGACCATAACCAAATGATTAGAATTCACTTATGAAGTTTAATTAAAATCATAAAACTTGTCTTAAAAAGTGTGAAACACAAACTAATCATTTAGCAGTAAGTAATCAGTGGCAACAGAAATTGCATGGGACTGATGTGATGTGTGTATGTATTTTCATTAATGTTCTAGGACACTGGCCATGCTGCCATCATGACCGTTATCTCCTTCAGATCCCTTTGGGTGTTCAATTTGACAAGCCTGGGGTGAAGTACCAGAACGATATTGGCCGCCATTAGATGGCCTCTTACAGGTACGTAAAACCTCTGTGTTGTGCACCTGACACAAGATAGGGCGATGGACCAACATTTCTCAAAGAGACAGCATATTAATTGGCTCACAAAATGCAGCTTATGTATAGAGCTACAATAAATGGATGTGAGTGAGTGTGTCTGTTCGTTCATAAGAGGCACCAGTACAAGGAATATATAATCTAAATAATACAGGGTAGTTGGAAATAGGTTCTAACCAGAAGAAAGTGCTCAAATCCCACAATAAAAGTGAGTACAGATATGAAACTCCATTGTCAATAAATCACTTTACAAGTTACCATCCTTGTCGGCGTAGTAAACAAAGAACGGGGACTAACATTTGTACCCTTTGGAGAAAGATTCCTCGTCATTAATGTGCGAAACTAGTGCATTAAGGACACTCATCTTCTGACTTCATATCACAAAGAATATTAACTGGATGAATATTCGGAATATGTACCAAGTTGGAAGAGAAATACTTTTTCTGTCAAGCAACAGTAATGCTCTGACAGAGGCTGACTGCATGTTGGATGTTTGGTCTTACGTGTCTAATCCCCGGTAAGTCTATGAACAGCATTCCCCCCCGCCCCCATTTCAGATTAAATATTTGAATAAGCAGGAGGCACCCATTAGATAAAATAAGTTGGCGTGAGATTGTTCCATTTCAGACGACTTTGCCTCCAATGTCTATGAAAGTGGCCCCTTGAGATTCTAGATTTC